ACAACAATAATGATAATAAAGTAATCCAATCAGAAAAATCTCCAACAAAACAACAAATTAATTTGGAAAAATATCAAAAGCTGTAAAAATTTATACCTTAAATAAATAAACATTTTCAATGACTTCTCTCAAGATATACAATTGATCCTTAGTACTTGGTACACTAAATTCTTTTATAATATCAACAACGTGTAGACCTCCATTTGTTTGATGCATTACATAAAATGTAAAAAGAATAAGGATCAATAAAATATATGCCCTAAATCTATGTTACTTATGGTAGACAATAATTCTGTATGACTCTATAGAAGATACTTGTTATTCTGTTGCTCCACGTGATAAATAGTGTTGATGTTGATAATAAATGGAAATTTGCCTACACTTAAACACTTTTTCGATGTCTTTATTTAATTTTTTGACATCAGTATAAAGAGTGTTGCCAATAACTTCTAAAATCCAGTATTCAAGAATTCTTTACCCACCAATAACGTCACATGGACTTTAAAAACTTTGCCCAGAACTTTCATATTATCCTCTATTACTATTGCTACTAAATGTCTATTTTATAACCTCCAATCAGAATTCGAAACACTAGCTACTTATGCAGATGTTATCAAAATCCATTAGATCCAAACTGTTGTGGTATACTATTTATAATATACACACACAATTATGGTGCAATTCATAAAACTATGATGTCCAAGGGACAATTTGTTGGTGTGAGAGGCTTTCTTTCTTTAATTGGTAGGATGATAGCTCTTTCCGTTTTCACAACATCTTTTTTTTTTTTGAAGATAAACTTCACTGTTTGACCCATTAATCAAGAATCATCGAGTTACAAACTCAAACAATGAATGACTTAAATAGGTCGTGTTATTGCTTTTAATATAGGCAGTAGAAGAAAGCTGTTGCATTTCCGGGATCACATCAGTTAAAGGAAAAATTGAAGGATTCGTTAATAGTTTGCCATCTTACTAATTGTAGATAAATTATTTTTTTCTTTATTCTATAAATAATTATTATCATCAAAATAAATTCCAATTATTCATTAAATTTCATATTTCGTTGACCAATTAAATAGCATGTAGCTTTAAATTTTACTATGGTGCAGGACACCTAGTCCCTACAACTTTCTGCGCCACAGCGACAGATTTGGGAAAAAATTCACAATCAAAAATGCAATAAAATTTTACAGTCACGTGTTTTAAAAATAGATTTGGCACGTTGCATTCTCTTTATTAGTATCACGTGATAAAAGATCTGC